CCAGCAGAATTACTAATCTTTTGTTACCCCTGCCCTTGAGAGAATCCGCTCTGAATTATCTTACTAATTAATTGAATATTAACCAACAAATAATTAATTCAAGTCGATTTAATTCAAATTAATTTGATTCGTTTACTTTCGAAATTACATAATAAATCCAAATAAGTAGACAATGCCTTATGATGACAAAAAAAATACACAGATGAAGGTTGTGAATTTATAATTGGCAGAAAATAAATGCCAAATGCGTACTCACCAATGGACTTAAAAGTTCAAGAACACTGAATCCTGCCTTTTTTACTTTTCTTTTTTCAATTAACAATTGTTTTTGGAAAAAAAATGTAAAAAAAAAGTCATGGAACTCGGAATGGAATTTCCGAATTCCACCAATTCCAATTCGACAATATCTGAATTTGGATAGTATTTTTTTATCCCGATTTCCGATTTTTTTCGAATTTATTTGGAATGAAATCAGAATTGTATATAAAATTACCAGAAAATTCCGACTTTCGACCGATTTTAGTTCCGAATATTTTGATCGTTTTTCGAAATATATAACATGATTTTATGATATTGTAATTCCATAATATAACTTATGTTATGTTTTATATAAAAATTATAAATAAAAAGGGTCAAATAAATTAAAAGCTTAGAAAATATTAATTGGTATCAGAAACTATCTGTTGTATTTTTTTATCAGAGAATATATGTATCAATTTGTTGTTCCTACATGTCGTTTTATTTATTGCATTTTGTCGAACTCTCTTTTGGATTTTCTTGCATTTTCATGTAAAATTTTTATATAAAATTCCCATTATACTCGAATTGGAACAAGAGATTATAGACTAATGTAATTTTTAAAATTTTCGAAATTCCGCCGATTTCGAGACATTTCGAAATCCCGCCGACTCCAAGGCATTTCGAACTCGGAATGATTTCTTGTATTTCGAGTTTTTTAAAACGAAAAATGGAACCTATTTTTGATTTCCGAAAAAAAGTTAATATTTTTTTGAAAAAGTTATTTTGATCCATTTCGTCCGACTACCACCTATGATCATAGAGTATGAAAAAATTAAAACTATGTGGTTTTTGATGGAATAATTAGAAGTAGGTCAAAAGAAAATGGGAGAGAAACGGTGGAATGTTGACCAAATTGCCACCACGTTTTGTTGTGGCTGTAAAAAGGTCAACCATAAAATCACATGACAAATTGCAATTTATGTGGATTCCTAATCGCCTCACCATCAAATATCAATCACCTTTTATTAGTGCCAAACTTTTCTTCGGTGATGGTTATATGGCGTTTTTTACTTTAAGATTATTGCTTTATAATTTATTTATTTTTCTTTTTCGCCAAAACAATAAATAAAATACACATGAATGGCCTAATTTAATTTAATATATGGTATATAATATACAAATTCATGCATGTATTACATAGTATAAAACAATAAATAATGAGTGAACATAGTAATTAAAATTATTATACAAAATTCCAAACACTTCAAAAATTAATTCTAAAAATAAAATATAACAGATTATCAACCCTTAAAACATCTAATTAAATGTAAAAACTTATCAATTGTATAAAATAAAGTTTAGTCAAGTGGGCCCTTAATTCGAGTAATCGGCCTTAACTCGAGTTGATCTGTCTCGTAATATTTTTGGGCTTTAATATAATAACTCAAACTCGATCCGACTCAACAATTAACTGAGTCGGGCTAAATAAAAATTAGGTCGAACGTGTTGTGAGGTAAGAGAATCTTTTTCGTTTGGCTGCAGATATTTGCAAGACGAAAATTACTAAGTGCAAGACCTTACTTCATGCAAGACCAAAATATTAATAAATTTACTAAGATCAAGACTGGAAATTACAAATATAACCCCAATAATAATTTAGATATTATTAATTTAAATTAAGCTAATTGCTATTGCAAGACCAAAAAAAACATACAAAAAAAAAGAATAAAAAAAAAAGGAAAAAAGAGAGGGAACTCACTCCCCCCCGACAAAACACCAACATCTTCTTCTTCACCCTCATTTTACACATTTTTTTTTCACAAAAAAATCTTCCATATTCTCCAAAACCCTTATCACATAAAACCCTCAAATCTTACTAAAACTTGAAAAGAAGGACATTATGGATACACAAGACATAAATATGGAGGATTCTAAGGTCCAAGAACAAAAAGAGGTAAGAAATATTGTACTTTGAGATCGTTTTTCTCGTTTTTCGCACCTCATTTCACGTACAAAAAATTCGACATGTACATGTCGAAATATCCGCTTAATATCGACACATCAGTGTCGAAAATTTCAAAATTATTCGACACTCACTAACTGTCGAATTATATTGAAATTATCGACATTACGGTGTCAATATTAATCGGATATTTCGACGCTAGTGTGTCGATTTTTCACTGTTACTTGTTTGCTGTCGAAATTCGATTAAAAAATCGACACCAGTGTGTCGAACATTTGCCAAAAAAAGGACAAGTACCGGTCGATTTTTGTAAAACCGCAACTCCTTCAACAATAGTGCTACAATCGAACCCTAGAATCATCAACTATGTTCTAAAATGACTTGAATTCATTATTCTAACAATAAAATCATGTTTATCACATTTATTTCTAAAAAAAAGTTAATTCAAAAAGTAATTTTTACTTGCTTTTCGTGAGATTGTTGTGACGGGGTTGGGGCAACAACAGAGTTCAACGGGCGACGGGGAGGTGGTGGACTTCAATGGCAACGGGGCGACGATGACGGGGCGACGGCGACGGGGCGACGATGATTTTTTTGCTGCAATTGTTTTTTTTTGTTTTCTTCTTCCAATCTTCCCTCCTCGTTTTTCAATTGTCATTTAATTTCTTTTTTCTTTTTTTTTATTAATTTTTCTTTTTTAAATTGGTCTTGCAAAAGGAAATTAATAAAATAATTTTTTTTTGTTTGTATTTTATTAAGGTTAATATAGTCTTTTTATACTGAATTTAATAAAAAAATTAATTTGGTCTTGCCCTAAGTAATTTTCGTCTTGCAAATAGTCGCTGCCTTTCGTTTTAGTTTCTCCGTTTTCTGTATAGCAATCGGTTCTTGTACGAAGATTCTAGAAGCGATTCAAAATTGATACCAATTTTCAACCCTATAAGAAGAAGAAGGTGAAATTATTTTTGACGACATACTTTGTTATATATATGCTGAAGATCTGGTTTTTTTTGGCTAATGCAATACGATGCCGGATCAATCATATGGAATAAGAACCCTAATTTTTAGGAATATTAAAACCCTAATTTTATTAATTTACTTTGATATGATTAGTCATTATATATTTCTGATAATGTGTTTTTCTGTTTTTTTTTCCTCTCACTTCAGTTTGCAACATGATATAAAGTTTTGTTGGGAATCATGACAATTTCGTTTAACGACGACGATCGGATAAGTCGGTTGCCCGACGACATTCTTGTAGATATACTGTCTTTATTACGGCCCGATAAAGCAGCTCGCACAAGTGTCCTTTCGTCCCGTTGGATAAACTTGTGGAAACACACCCCATCTCTCCATTTCAACGGATCGCTCAAATTCGAGCAACGAAAGTGCGTGAAAATGGTGAACTCCGTGATCCAATCGCACAAATCTCCCACCTTAAAAAAATTCAGGATCACTTTCCCTCTAGACAGACCAGACAGCACTAACTTATTAACCCGTTGGCTCGAATTCGCGTTTTTCCGACAAGTTGAGATCTTGGAGTTCGACTTTCATATTTATCATGATTGCTTACCGCAGCGCCATTTCCCTGAAGTGTATAATATTGCCCCAAGAAGCAGTACGCTTTCCGAATTTAAGTCCCTGAAATCATTGTCTTTTAAAGGTGTCAACGTGAGTGGTCGAGCTATCGAGTTCTTATTACGTAACTGCCCTCGACTCGAACAACTGATTGTCAGTCACTCCCAGGATAAAACATCGAAAATCGAGGTTTGCGGTTCTTCCCTCGTGTTAAAACACTTGAAGATAGCCTATTGCTCGGCTTTGGAATCACTTAAAATTTCCGCGCCCAGCCTTACTTCGCTTGGGCTTACGAGCCTAGAGGGAGTTTTGCTCGAGAATGTTCCAATGCTAGTTGATGTATCTGTCAACTGTGACTATTACAGCCCTATTTCTATAAAAAAATTATTTTCCGTAACGTCTCGCTGCATTTCTCAACTGGAGACTCTTAAATTGGGGATGCTGTGGTTTCCCACCAGAAAAGGAAACGACGAACTTGGCACTTTTCCCCAAATGCCTAAATTGAAGAAGTTGTTCATCGAATATGGTCCGTTTGATGAAGCAACGGTTACTACACTCGCTTACTTTACAAGCGCATCTCCTTACTTGCAGGAATTTGTTTTGGAGGTAGGTCAAATTTTTCTCTCTACGTTTCTTCATTTTTTGGTTTGTCTATATCAACTCATATGTGTAATTTTTCACCTTAGACATATATCTTGATTTAAAAAAAAATAGATATTATTAGATAAAAATACCCTTATTTACTAATTAGTGTATACATAGCATCCGAATTCTAAGTGACAGGATAATATTGGAGAATTTTTTTTCTTCTCAAAAGTGACATATATTGTCGAACGAGTTGTGCCTCTCTGTTAATATGTGTCATTTTTCACCTTGGCGCGAGTCTTAAAAATTAAATCTCAATAAATATGTCTTGATTTTAGAAAAACAGATATTGTTATACCAAAATACTCTTATTTACTAATTAATATAGCATTAGAATTTTTAAGTGACGGATAATATTGAAATTTTTTTTCTCTCAAAAGTGACATATATCATGGAACGGACTAGCTATACCTCTCTTTGTTATATTATCCATTAATTGCGGGGGTCTTATTATTATTATTTTTTTCTCCGGGTGTGCAGAATAAATACAAAAACGCTAAGCCGGAGAATATACGAATGGATGACGTGGCGGCTAGTGGAAGGTTTCGGCACGAGCACATTAAAGTGTTCAAATTTCGTGGGTATCATGGTCGACCAATTGACGATGCAATCGTGGCTTGCGTTTTGGAGAATTTCGTTGTGCTCGAGAAAATAATAATTGATCCGTCCGGTGTAAGTTCCTTGGATATATTTAGTCGCTTAGAAACGGAGAAAACTGCGAGAGAATCGGCAAAGCAACATCTTCAGCCGCAGTTGCCTCACCGTGTTGAATTGGTTATTCTCTAACATATTAGAAACATTGAAACATTGAAACACAAAATTAAACTGTCCAGAATGAAACCCTAACCACTTATTTCTCTTTATTCAGTTTTCCATATTTTTTGGCCGATAAATATAATTAGAATTGAATAAGATCTTTATATGGGCTTTCAGAACTTGGGCCTTACAACTAATCCTTAGTTGTAGGTGGGCTACTTGCATAGTTAATATTAGCTGTCTTATTCTATATGTTTTTTTTTCTTTCTTTTTTATAATTGAATCTTAGTTTGACAAATTATACTCATATGTGCACTATTATTTATTGATTGTTCTCAGTGTTTTAGCAATTATTTTATGCTATATCTTGCACATTTCTTTCTTTGTTTGCAAGCAACCATGCGTCTTCTTGTCAACGGTCGCTGGGTCGAACTGTAATTTATATCTTTCATATGATTTGCAAGCTATTACACGAGAGCGTAAGTTTACCCGGTGCACCCATATGATTGACTGCATATTTTTTCATTCAAAAGAAATGAGGACTTTAGTTATATATGCATCCTTTTCATTAAACAATATTTCTATCTGAGAAGTCATTTACCTAAATCTTTTTTTTTTTACTTAATTTTTTTTCTTATATAGGAAGTCATTTACCTAAATCAGATGCCAATTGTTTAGTATATGCAGAAAAAAAAACCCAGAAATTATATAGCTAATAGTAATAATAATAATGATGATGTAATAATTGTAATTGAAAGGAAACTGTCACTATCAGCAGCATCATCCCCTCAGCTTATGAAGAGCAGAGGGAAATCCAGGATAAGGTCTGAAAATTAAACCAGGGTGGTCCCTTCTAATTAATTCATTAAATTAAATTAAATAAATTTAAAAATAAATTGAAAACTTATTAGTAAATATAAAATGTGTCCTTACCATACAAACAAATGTTTAAATAAAGATATATGTAACAATCAGTCATCATTCCTCCAAGTGTTGTTGTATTTCATTAATGTAGAATCAACTACCACTTTTAGTTTATTGATTTATTTTTTGTCGATTAATCATAAATTTGTTAAGATTTTTTAGCTAGCTATGATATTTTGTCTTATATTTGTGGACTATGTTTAATTGTCAATTATTCTTTTCTTTATCTTGTACTCAAGACAAGACCTTGGAAAAAAAGACCACTTTGCCATGATCCTTATCCTTAAACTTCTTTATAATAATCACTTAATTATCCTAGTCCCTTCAATGTTTTTTTAAATGTATAAAACCTTTTAATTTATATGGTATAACTATAACCACATCTAGGATCAATCTAGAAACTATTGACAAGGAAAATCTAACTCGGAACGTTTGACGCCGCGCTCTTATATTCCACTGATCGATTTACAATGAGTTGATCAATCTAGAAACTAATAACAAAGGAAGTCAAAATTGAATAGTTAGACGCTGTGCTCTTATACTCCACTGATTTACAATGAGTTGATCAATCTAGAAACTAATTGACAAGGGAAATCTAACTCGATTCGTTATACTGATTTACAATGAGGCTATCAATCTAGAAACTATTGACATGGAAAATCTAACTTGAATCGTTAGATGTCGCGCTCTTATACTCCACCAACTATTTCAATAAATAGCAATAAAAATTTGAAATACTTGCTCAACCTAAAAAGTATTGACAATGAAAATTGAACTCGAATTGTCAGACACCACAACGCTCTCACACTCCACCAATTATTGAAATAATTAGCAGCAAAAATTTTTAATTACTTCAATGCCATTATAAACAAACAATAATCAAGTGTTTAGACAACATCATCAAATTAAAATTTGCACAAAAAAATTTAAAACCACTCTTTATTCTTCTATACCACCCCCAAAATAAACTAGTTTTATCCTCCACATTACATTACATTACATTACATTATCACAATCATGTATTTTACCTGCAGAATCAAAAATTAATATACAATATAATCCCCAACCATATATATGCCCCCCTAACAACCTAAGCTGCACGTAAGAACCCAATATTGGTTCTCCTTAAATATCATGTATGCATACATATATAAATAATATATTATATATAAATATATATATACCTATACTATACTATATATATCTTTTCTTTCCTTATCTACACTATCATGCATTAATCCCCTTTCTTCCTATTACTAAAGAAAAAATGGAGAAAAAAAAATAGTGAAGAAGAAGAAGATTAGAAACCCCCTCAAGCTACAAAGTCCGGCAACAACTGCGCGGCAAACCTTTTCCGGTTTTGAATGTTGATGTTTTCGTACACATTGGTCGGGTGGGTGTTCGGTTGTTGTGCGTTCATTCCAACGTAATCGTTTGTTTCGCCGATCTCAACTCCTCTCCCTAATTGCATGCCTTGATTCGTCGGCATGAATGCCTGGTGGTGGTGGTGGTGGTGTGGCACTGACGACATGGTGAGTTGGTTGTCGCAGTGCGGGAGCCCTAGTGTGAGAGAAACCCCGTTTCCCAAGTAGGGGTGTTGTTGGAAATGGTCCGGTTCAAACCGCCCGAGTTCATTTATTGCGTAGGATCCGAACCCGCCTATGAAATTCGTGGGCCCACCCATTAAAGTGAACCCTCCATCTCTCGACATGCTCTCGTTTTCCGCGTCGTCGCTTGATTTGGACATTAGCATGTCGGAGATTCGGAGTTTCTTGGGGCTTTCTCGGGCGATGGTGGCGGTCTCGATTTCTGAAGACGATCCGATTAGGTTAAAACCGGAAATGTTCATGTTGTTGTTGTTGTCTTGTCTCGAGATAACAAAACTCTTGTTCTGATGTTGTTGTTGTTGCTGCTGCTGTGGGCTTTTGTCTTGTAGTGGCGCGGTGGATTTTGGGGTGGAATATTCTTCGTTGTGGTGTTCGGTTTTGTTGTTGATGTTGTTGTTGATGATCTTGTCATCTTCGGATGATCCGTTGTTGTTCTTCTCGTTCTCCTTCATCTCTTCGGTGTACATCTCCTCCACCATCGGCTTCCAGAGGCGAACGCGGGCGTTGATGAACCAGTTAGACACCTGAAATTCAGAATTTTGGAAATTGTTATGAAAATAACTTATTCCCAAAGTGGAAAAAATCTCATAAATCGGAATCGGCAGAATTCAAAACTTATATTTTTTTCAATCACCTATAACTAAAAAAACATAATAATAATGATTTTGACAAGTGTAAGGGTTGTAGAAAATTGGAATTTTTTTTGAAAATTCAAATCAGATCAGAAATCTGAATTTAATATGCATCCCAATTACGTCCCAAACCAAATCGGAAAAATCAGAAATGATATAACTTTCAGAATTCAGAATGAAAAATATTGTTCCAAATTCTGAGAAATATTCCGATCAAAATTAGCGTAATTCGGAGTCCACGTTCCAATTTTGAACCTTAACTGGAACTAGACAACAATAATATCATAGGTAAGTACCTGGCTCCTGGTAAGCCCTGTCTGCTTAGCAAGCATGATCTTGTCCGAATCCTTCGGATAACTGAAAAACGTAACAAAAAACAACCATTCAATCAAAAATATCGGAAGAAAAAATAAATGACAAATGAGATTGACAATTGTTGAAATGGAAGTATACGGGTGGAGAAAGTGCTCGAAAAGCCAAGCTCGGAGAACGGAAACCGAGCGTTCGGGCAACCCGCGTTGGGGTCTCCATGCATTGTGCTGGATCATTCCCAGTTGCTGCAATGCCCTTTGCTGCCTGATTTGATTGTCGACGTATTTCAGCCGAGACGAAGAACCTTCGATTCTGCCCGATTCCAAGACGACGTCGTCCTCACCGAGGCTCTTACTGGCTGATCTGATCTGCCCCAAGATTGCGTCTTTCAAGCAGCGGAACTGCTTCGAGATTGTCTGTAGTGCGAGTGCAGTGTATGTTTTTGCGGACCCGATTCCTGCGGCTTGTTCGAACCATGTTATTACTATCTGTGTAGAGACTTCAA